TTGATTTTCTTCAGTTCCCCCCGTCATTAGACTCTGTGTTCCCCAACTATTTTGGGATGTTGTTTGTGTCCTCCATTGTGAAGATAGAATCAAATTTTATATATATATTTAATTGCTCTGCCATCTCTTTGTTCCCCACTACAATTCCCCTTGTTTCTGACATTGTCATTGCTCATTTTTTCTTTTCATATATCAATACCTGCGGGTGAAGGTTTTGAATAGGGAGAACTTAAAGTGCAGTAAAGACTACTGGAATTATTCACCCTCAATTTCTTGGCAGCTATTAAAATCTAAGCAAATTTAGGAGTCCGTGAATTAACTCCTGGTGATCACATTAACTGAAAGGGATTGGATGATTTGCAGTCGTAAGCAGAACCCCCAAGCAGATACATCGTGGTGACGTGGAACATTTACATAGCAGCCATGCAAATGTAGTGTGCTCTTAGAGCACACAAATGTCTCCACTTCGTGTCCTACTTTATTTTCCCTTCTGGCAGCCGTTCATGAACATCAGTGTGCGCATTCATTGGGCCTGGAGTTGCAGAGTCAATTGATCTTGAGTGAAGATTTGAGAGAAAATACAGAACAATCAACCAGCCTAACTCCACTCAGCCAGCTGATAAATTTATTAAAAGGGATCAATTGGCAAAGTTGGCATGTTGGCTGGTTTATGATGCAGGGTGATGCCAGCCATAAGTTCAATTCCTGTTCTGGATGAGGTCACCAGATGGGCCATTCTCAACCTCATTCCTCATTAGAGGCTGGTGACCCTCAGATTAAACTCACCGTCAATAGTTTCTCTGTAATGAGAAAGCTGGACAATAGTGACTTTCACTTCTCTATTAAAGGAGTGAGCAGTTGAGCCAAGTGATGCTGTTTGAACTTACCCACTGCCTGGGAAATTCATACTTACCAAGCCTGCACCTAGAATATTGGTAGCAACCGGTAAAGGAGTTGGGACGTCATGTTGAGGTTGTACAGAACCTGAGAGTAACAGAGAGCTCTGCTTCGAGCTTTTATCAGCTGGGCTAGAAAAATTGCATTGAAAAGATCTAAAAGGTAAATCTAGGAAGCTTTCTGCAAGTGATCCGGTCAGATATTGTACAGTCGTAAAAGGACTGGGGTCCCATCAGCAGCAGATCAAGTCTGTACAGAAATGCACAAAATTCTTAAAAAGGCATAGGTTATTGAAATAGCTGCACCCAAACTTAAGAGGGACCACATTACTTTGACAGAGATTTCAATGGTTATAGAGTCAAAGAGTCATACAGCACAGAAACGGACCCTTTGGTCCAACTTGTCCATGCCAACCAAGTTTCCCAGACTAAACTAGTCCCGCTTGGCTGCATTTGGTCCATATCCCCCTAAACCTTTTCTATTCATGCACCTATATTTTAAATGTTGTGACTGTACCTGTATCTACCACTTCCTCTGGAAGGTCATTCCACCTATGAACTACCATCTGTGTGGAAAAAGTTGCCCCTCAGGTCCCTTTTATTATCTTTCTCCTCTCACCCTAAAAATATGTCCCCTAGTTTTGAACTTCCCTACATTAGGGGAAAGACCTTTGGTATTCACCTTATCTGTACCCATCATGATTTCATATGAGGTCACTCCTCAACCTCCTACACTCCAGTGAAAAAAGTCCCAGCCTATTCAGCCTCTCGTTATAACTCAAACCCTCCATTCTCGGCAACATGATTGTAAATATTTTCTGAACCCTGTCCAATTTAATATTCTTCCTACAGCATGGTGACCAGAACAGTATACAGTACTCCAACTGTGGCCTCACCAACGTACAACCTCAACATGATGTCCCACCTCCTATATTCAATAGTCTGAGCAATGAAGGCAAGCATACTAAACACCTTCTTAATCACCCTGTATATCTGTGACACAACTTTCAAAGAAGTATGTACCTAAACCCCATCTCTTTCTGTTCGACAACAGGACCCAGGGCCCTACCATTAACTGTATGTCATGTCCTTGTTTGTTTTACCAAAATGCAATACCTTGCATTTATCAAAATTACATTCCATCTGCTACTTTTTAGCCCATTGGTCCAATTGATCAAGATCCCCTTGTAATCTTAGATAATCTTCTTCACTTTTGACGATACCACCAATTTTGGTGTAATCCGCAAACTTACTAACATGGCCTCCTAAATTCTTATTCAAATTATTTATGAATGACAAGCAAAAGTGGACCCAGCACAAAGCCTTTGTTGTAAGGAGGAGAAAAAAAAAAGTTTTTAATTTTCCTGAGGCTGTTGTTGAAGTTTATTTTAGTAATTAGTGTTAAAAGCGTTGATACCTTGGAATAGCTTAGCAGAAGTCATCAAAAGTATCACTTCGGATTTTTGAATATTCCCTTCCAGTATCTGAATATACTAATGTCCTTTCAAGATTGCTAAAGGTGAAGAGATACATTAATTTATCTAATATTGAAACTCTACTTTCTGATGAGATATAAGGCATCTTGTTCCTTGCCCCAGTAATCTGATATCACTTTTAGCATTTATCTCCCATTTTGTACTCTGTGCCAGAAAATTAAAACCTTAAATCTTGGGTTTTTGTTCTCTTTTAACTAAAATTGCTACTTTTAATCCATGTTGGTGGATTTTGATTGTTGATCTGGAGACTGCTTTAGTCAATTAACACATTGCAATACTCTTTCAGCAGAAGACAGATTGTAGGAACAGGGTACAGGGACCAGAACATTGGAAGAGAAATTGAACGCTGTGTTAGTACTTGCTTTTGCGCTATCAATGAAACTGATTCTAACTTGGGTTTTGGGGCATAGGAATGTGGTTCCTGAGCACAAATACCTTCCCATGACAAGACTACCTTTAAAATAGAGTAGAATAAACCTGAGGGTGTATGTACAAAAACCGTTGAAGATTATAGCACCACACTTTAAGAATCATAGCAAAGTCTTATGGTGGACACATGGGAAATATATAAAATAAAAGACGTCAGTTGCGTGGAGAAGCTAGAGAATCTGTGGTTCTTCCTGTAGAAAAAAAGGTGGAATTTTGATAGTGTTCAAATTCATAAAAGGTTTTGATAGATAACTGAGAATTTTTCTTCCAGTGACAGAGAAGTTAGTAGCTGGAAGACCCAGATTTAAGGTAGTTTGCAAAAAGAACATTAGGTGTTGTGAGAAAAAAAATCACGAGTTATGATCTGGAAGCAGATTTGGGAATAACTTTCAAAAGAAATTTTAATAATCACTTGAAATGAAGAAAATTGTAGGCCATGGGAAATGAGCAGGATATTGGGAATAATAGAGCAAACATGGAGGTGAGTCAAACAGTAACAACAGTACAATCAACTGCAGAAGAAAAGGTTAGAATAGCAGAATGGACAAATAGCAGATAGAAATTAATGCATAGAAGTGTGAGGTGATGCATTTTGACAGAAGGGATAGGAAGAGATAATATAAACTTAATGGGATGGTTCCAAAGTGCGTTCAGGGATATATAGATCTGAGAGTTCATGAGCATAGCTCTTTAAATGTACCAGGGCATAATGTAATAGTCATCAGCAGAGCATATAGGATATTTAATTTCATTAGGAGAGTTGCTGGTGAAGTGTTAATCTCAGTGGAATAATAATCAAAGGCCTAGGCTAAAGGTTTGGGGACACAGATTTAAATCCTACCATGGAAGTTAGTGGAATTTAAATTTAATTAATAAAAAATTGAGAATATAAAGCTGGTCTCAGTAATAGTGACCATGAAACTATCATCAGTTGTGATAAAATCCATTGTAAGAATAGTGAACCATCTGGTTTACAAATGCTCTTTGGGGAAGGAAATCTGCTGTCCTTACCTGGTCTGGCCGAGATGTGATTCCAGAGTGCAGCAGTATGATTGACTTTTTTTTTGCTAAACTTAAATTTTGCATTCTCCTTTGAAAATTACCTAGCAAGCCACTTAGTTCAAGGATATTTATAAATGACAAGTGCTGGCCATGCCAGTGACACCCATCTCCTGTGAATGAATACGAAACAAATAAATGGATGTATTGAGTACAAAAGCCAGGAAATACTGCTGAACCTTTATAAAGCACTGAATAGGCCATAACTAGTTTACATCATTCAGTTTGGGTCATTGCACTTTAGAAAGGATGTGAAGGCCCTTGAAAGGGTGTAGAGGGGATTTGCTGAGATGTTTCCAAGAATGAAGCATTTTACCTAAAAGTAAAGGTTGCAGAAGTAGGAAGGAAGGCAGGTTGAGGAGAGATTTTAATAGAGATGTGCAGGCTAATGACAAGATTAAATATGCTACACAAAAAAAAAATCGTCCGGCTAGCTGATGGTAGAAAGACTATGGGACAGAGATTTGAACAAGAGATGCAGGGGGATGTTAGATAAAGCTATTTTTATGCCATGAATGGTAATGACCTAAACTTGCTTTCCATGAAGGTGGTGAAAGCATAGGGTGACCAGTCATTTTAAAAAGAAATTGGATGGGTACATATAGAAAATAAAATTGCAGCAATGTGAACCGAATGGGGGATGGGACTGACTAGATTGCTAGCTTTCTGGAGCCCAAACCTAAAACTGTATGACTCATGGACATGATGAGACACATGGCCACCTGTGTATTGACTCTCATGGGTGAATGATCTCTTACTGTAGTGTATTGTTCAATACAAAACTAAGATGTAGCAGTGATCCTGGTGAAAGTAATATGTATATTGGATTGATTCATAGTAGTTTAATCTATAAAATGTAAGGAGAATCTTTTAATGGGACAAGCATTAACACAGCAGTGTGACAAAAAATGTGATAGCATTAAGTAAAATGTGGAAAAACAAAAAGTCTACAGACTTAATGTGGATGAAGCATTCTTATTACCTTTTACTCTAACATTTTTTGTAGGAAAGTACAAAATACCCTTGACTTCAAGAAAACCTTTTTTGATTTGGGAAAACTAATTTTAAGTGGACCATGGAACAAGATGAAGAAGTACATGAACAAGAGGCTGACCCACGAATGGCTTTTTTACAGAGCTTAAGCCTGATGTTTTTCTGTATAAAACCAGATAAATGGACAAAATTTTCTGGTACGGAGGAAAACAAAAATCTGGTGATGAACTTCTTCAATACAGAAGACATAATGATTCTGGTACTTTATATTAATAATGCTGGACTATTAACTGCAAGTTTGGGATTTCCTGCCTCAGTTAAAACTAAGGGAGTTTATTTTGTGAAAAAGAAAATGGTGCGTATCACCCCTGAAAACATTAGAGATTCACTATCAGTTGGTGATATTAGCAACTCACCAGTTGAGCAATTATTAACAGTGCTTGAAGAGGTGAGTGACAGAAAATTAACACTTCCGTAAGAGAGTTTGAGTCAATAACATCTGAGAATTACCTTTTTCTCTGCACAGATGACACTGGACCTATTGAGCATTCCCAGAATTTCCTGTTTTTGTTTTAGATTTCTAGTATCTGCAGTATTTTACTTTTCTTTCAAATAATTGAAATTTGTTCTGCATTTATCCATAACAGTATTCTATTAGGGTTCAACAATATTTTGAAGTGCTGCAATGTTTTTGGGTGTATTATACTGTCTAATATTTTCTTGATATATTTGTTAGACTTTGAGTAATGTTTTAAATTTCCCTTCAGCTAATTTTCAGTCCTACTCTCTGGCCTATTTTCCAGGCTACAATAGTTGTAAAGTACTACTCTGGATTTACCATATTATTTTGTACATCTGGCTAGATATTTCTAACTTGAAAAGGATTAAACTATATTTGGGAAATTCTATAGACAACCAAGTCAGCATCAGAAATGAAATATATTATGATTTATGAAGAAGTAGGAGGGAAATGTGAGAAGAAAAGCATTACATTTATGGACAGCTTCAATTACGCAAACATAATATTTTGAAAACCTAAGTGATTTAGAATCAGAGTTGGGAAATGAAATATATGACCGATTTGTGACGAAAGATATTGAAGATAACAAGAAACAGTGTTAATCTCGACTTTGTATCTATAAGTGACCCACAAAATGCATAGAAAAATGTAACTTGTGACACCTTTAGATACAGTAACCAGTCAATTCACCAACATGTTGTTGGATAAAAGACTAATCTCGGAACTGTAGGAAACAATGTAAGCAAGTTAATTTGTTCAATATTGTGCAGTCATAACAGTGGGCAAGTAGAACATTTTCAAAGGAGGAAGTGGTGGAATAGTGGTAATAATACCGTATGATATTTGAACAGAAATATGCTATCCAGCACATCGAATCTGCTCTAGTATTCAATGAGATCATGGCTGATCTAATCATTTTCTCAACTTCATTTTCCAGCTTTTTCCCCATAACCCTTGATTCCATTATAGATTAAAAATCTGTCTATCTCAGCCTTGGATATTTTTAATGGTCCAGCCTTGACAACTCTTTGTGGTAAAGAATTCCAAAGATTGACTACTCTCTGAGAGAATAATTTTCTCCTCATCTCTGCCTTGAGTGAGCAACCCTTTGCACTGAGATTATGCCCTTTGGTCCTAGGCTCTCTCAGAAGGGGAAACAATGTCTTCGTATCCACCCTGTCAAGCCCTCTTAGATAACAAGGTGTAGAGCCGGATGAACACAGCAGGCCAAGCAGCATCAGAGGAGCAGGAAAGCTGACGTTTCGGGT